TAGAAAGAACTCGACGTGGAGCACCTCAGTGCCGCCATGGACAGCGTTCCAAAGTGTTTCCGAGCTTGTGTTCGCGTCAAAGGAGGAATCCTCGAGTTGTAAAGTCAATTTTATGTAGCAGATGAGTGAAGATTATCTGCTGATTTCATGTAACCATCTTAACTAGCTTCTTCATTATGATAAAAGTATCGTGTTCAAGGTTTCCCCCAACCCTGTATGATTCACAAAAGTTAAATTCCGCAAGGCGAATACAAGAAGGTGAAAGTTTTAGGTGAATTTTTGAAAACTAAACTTCCATTCACTGAACTGTTGTTATTGTATTATAGATGTCATTTGTTTCCGCTCTTTACTCTTACCTTGGCGACAGTGCCTTCATATCGCAGCAGTTTGTAGTAAGTCGTTACTAAGTTTTGCTACACTTTCTTCGCCTTCTTCTGGAAAATTTTATAAAATACAGGCGAAGTTTCATAATTAGAGGGGACGAAGAGCTATCCACTATCATCATGTTCCCTTGATGAACATGTGTCAAAGTGAATGTAAAGGCAATGTTCTAACGATACTTCAACTCGATTTCTTTTTTGAAATTTCTCCGATTTTTGCACCTTTTCAGATTTTTCATGGACTTCCGGGAGCATCAGTAGAAATACCATGGAAGTTCGAAAGCTTGAGCTCTTCAATGACCAAGTTATAAATTTATAAAATGATTTGGAAAGAGTTCCAAAATCTCAAAAATGAAATCTATTTAAGTATGTGTTTGTCGAAAATCTGCGATCTTTCACAACATTTTCAAGTACAAAATTCTAAAGAAGTTGCGTTATTTAGAGTCGAGTTATTTTTCTGCTCAAATGTAACAAAATTTACGTAACTATCTAACATTTTTCATTCACTTTCTTGTTTTGCATGAACGTAAATTTTTTGTCCGCACGTCAAGAATGTTGGAGCATTTACCGCAGAACTTTTGACTTGTAGTATTAGGTCGTTCCATGAGTTCGTAGCGTTTTTATAAACCAACAGAATCAACAATTTATAGTAAGAATAAATCAAAATTGTATTCCTCGTTGAAGCGCACGACCTTTTGGCACATTTTTGTTGGCTTGTCAATCTCAGTTTTCCAAAAGTCTGCGCGTCGGCTCAAAAAAGCCATCTAAGCAACGCTCAAACTATTTAATGAAATCGAGACATTCGCCATTATGAGATTTGCTAAAGAACGGAGCAAATGATAGTCTGAGAGCGAGATCTGGAGAGTACAAAGTACCTTCCAGTCATATGGTGCAGGACAGTTTTGGCGACGTTTGCCGTATGAGGCCATATTTCGTCATGCAGAAGAACTCAGCTGGTCCTGTCTGTTAGGTTTTTTCTACGGTAGGACCTGGCTTAGACGGTGCAGTTGGATTGCACACGGTTTGATTGACCATCGCCTACTATCGCCTTGTACAACAATCTTCAGTGCAGGACTTCCTGCCCGTCCCCTGAAAAGTCTTGTTCAGGGACACTCTGCTCAACCCCTCATCTTTTGTAGCAATCCGATCCCTTTTTGTCTTATATTGATGTGCGAGAGCCATGTTCCATAATTGACTAAAAAGTCTGTGCAAAAGCGCTTCTTTTAACAAGGAAAAGATGCGCAAATATCGAAATTGCTCCTTTTTGCTTTTCAAGATTTCCATCTTTGGAAACTAAGAGATTCAAGTGAATCAGTTTTCCACCGGAATCAGTGGACATATTTTGAAGAGCACAATCAGCCCTTCCAAATGACATACGCATCTTGCCGCAAATCAACCGCTCCTTAAAGATATGAGGACGAAAATGAAAACGCTGGAACTTATGGAACGACCTGATAACAGCAAATTTTTCAAACGTGAGATCAGAAAGAAAAGACTGAAAAATTTTCCACAGGTTCTACACATCTTTTATCACTACTATCATACAATACCGCTTACAGAATGTGCAAAATTTACGTGATTGTCGCGAAAGTCCCGAACTGTCACGGAATTCCTGAAATGTCGCGAACTTAGGCAAAATTATCCGAATTACGCGAAATTCATGGAGTTTTTGCACATTCTGTTAGCGGTATTGTAGATATTTTCGCAACGAGGATCAATAAAAGGCCTTCGAATGTATACTGTTGATGCAACTTTGAAAATTGGATTATCGTCTTCTTTTCTATAGCCAGCTAGTTGTAGCCACTGCCAGTTGCAAAGAACGTACAAATACATGATTCCGAATCCACATCAACCTTTTCACTATGAACACTGCCTCGGTAGCTATCCTTTTTTGGTTTAGATCTAATGAGTTTGTCGAATCTGCTACACTAACCGCACAGATTAGCACGAATTGACTTGCTCAATCTTCGTACGTTGGCTGACCATTCATCATCACCCTTTTCTCAATGTATACTAATTTTATGCATTCCTCATCCACCATATCGACATACTACAGCCTATTTCACTCACTCTATCACTTCCACTATTCCGGCTCTGAAGAAGGCGATACATCGATTGTTACTATCTCTAACATGAAGATATGGAAATTTCGTCCATCTCTGATCTTTCATTTCATCTCGTTTCATCCGCTTCCACTCGTCATTCTTCCATGATTATCCTTCATCCTACCACCTCACAACCTCATCGAATCTACATTTTCCTTGGCAATACTTTTTTCGGCAATGTTATTCGGTAAATCCCTAGTGCTTTTCGATGTTTTTTTTTGAAATCACGCTAGACCTAAAGTAAACTTGATAATGCAAGATTCTTGAGATTGTTTTTTTGACTAAGTGTACTTTCGTTCAACTTTACAAGCTGGTCTACAGCTTCGTGTTCTGTTTCTTCATCCTTATTTTCTTCTAAGGCTGAAGACTGGCTGGTCTCATTTGTTTACAGTTTCTTTTATTTCTTTCACATTTTGGTGCCTCGAGTGTATTTTTAAGATAAAATAAAAAATTAAATACTCATTGTCTTTTAATTTCGTCTCCTGTGGATAGACATCATTCTGTCTTAATTTATATCACCTGATTTAATAGCAAATAAAGAGGTTTTTTTAATAGGGGCTTTAGACTAACAATAAGATTTTCAAGATTTTTTTCTGAACGTTCTTCGTCTACCACTGACTAACGTTCATCTCAACTATTCTCCAAACCTACGGTAAACAGCAACACTTTCTTGTACAGTAATTTTATAGTTTCCTCTCAAACTTCAATCTAACCGTCATGAACCTCTCATCAACCAAGGGTTAGGAGCAGGGTCAGCACGAGTTCGTTTCTAGGCTTTTTGAAAACGAAGTCACCCCGACTTTCGCAAACTTCTGCGAAGTCCCCTTTGAACATTCACTGCCAGAATTTTTGCCTAATCTGGAATATTGCCGTTGTCGTACAAATCGAGGCTCTCTATCCTAGCCATTACTACTCCTGCGTCTAGAAGAACACCAAAACTTTGTCTTCAAAATATAATAATGACGAGGAAGATCAAATTTAAAAAAATTTCAGTCTGTCGAATTTCAACAATTATGCTAGAGGACACATGTTCGCTTGTAGTTAGTAGGGAAAGTGAAGAACCAGCAATTCTATAATTCTTTCTTAGTGCGCGTTACCAAATCATGGAATGAGCTTCCAATGGAAGCTGTCACCGCGAGATCTACATTCGTTTTTAAAAGAGAAGCTCAAAAATTTGTGAAATTACAGGGGTTATTCTGACTACCATTTTCCAGGGAATTTGAGATTACGACGTTTCTTTTCTCGCCATAAATTCTAGCGCAATCTTTCTGATTTATGGCTGGTCTCCAAAGCGATTCTACTCCTCGCTATGCTCGATTATTTTTTCGTTCTTTGGTTTACCAAATCAAAAAAAATGTATCAATCTCCAGTAATGCCTCTACCTTTTCTATGTATTGTAACTCTCTCGAATTATCTTTTTTTTCTGCTCAATGTTCTCCTGTTTATCATTTCGTTCTATTCATGCTGAGCATTCCCTTTTTTGAGGGTTCTAACTTGTGTCTTTTCCTTGCATTGTCCTTTCGAAAAAATGTTATTTCCTTTGAGTTATGATCAGCCAGGCTCTGCACCCGGGCTCTGTAGTCCCAAACAGGGGATATCGTTTTCCAGAGTTTTTAGATCGACCGTTGTAATAATTGATCTTCCACGTATAGAGTCACTTAGATGTCGATTTCATAGCCAAATAAACAAATAGATAAATGATAAATAAATAAATAAATAAATAAACCTTTCGGAAACGTCGACTAAAAAAACCTAATCTAACTTTGTGTTTTCAGACCCAGAAAAATGATATCCCCTTTGCCATTTCGCCCACGAAGTCCATTCCGCTTCCAGACGATCAGTACCGGGACTTGGTTTGAAGTAATACTACTTCAAATGCAATCTGCAACTTTCATGCGATATGTATAAAAAAAGTAAAACGGTCATTCTAACCACTTTGCGGTGGCGAAAGTGAGCGCGGATCGCGCGAGAACGAGTTGCATTTGTTCGCGTAATGTGTATAATGTCACATCTAGCTTATGGTCGAGTAAGAGAAGATGATCATTACGCATCTCCTGGTCGTCATCGTCTACCACGGGTCATCACATATAAATAGAGCAACTTGTAACAGTCGTGCGCACACGCTGTTGACCCAGTTTCGGGGTTTACTATCATCTATCACATACAAGAACTTTCATTACATCCGTTATCATAGTAGCTCGAGGCCAAGTCAAGTCTCCTTTCCCTCATGCTGGGTTAAATGTCCTTCATTATGCTATTGAAAGGGAAATTTTGTTTTTTATGGATTACCGTAAGAGTATGGGGGCTAGTATATGAATGAGAAGATGATCCAGTTATCCTTGCGTCGGTCCGGTTAGCTGTCACCTTATTTAGACTCACGCAAGAAAGTAGTCGCATCTAAAACTTTCATGACCAGTTACTTTCCCGTTTTCTCCATACTCCTCTAATGCTTTCTTCCCGTACCTTTCTCTCCTCGTACTTTTAAAACTTTACCATACCATTTCCAGCTTACCACATGTGGTTACCGATTCTTATTGCACTCTTAGCCCGGCATGTGTACTCCTCACCGCCGATGTGCCATTGCCCAGGTGGACAAGTGGGAAGTGGGTAACCTGTGACCTTTCGGGTAAAAATCTACTTTACCCGGATAAACTGATTGCCTAACCCCTTTCAGTGTCCTGCCCCCAACCAATTCAACTAAACTGCCCAGCAATGAATTGTCCCCCAGCACCTGCATGTAATCCCTTCCCAACGCTGCCAACATTCGCTCCCGGTAATGGAATACAGGTATGTTAATCGGTCGCCTAACTTTACCCAAGCTGTGTAAGGTAATTGCCTGATTTTCAGGGTATACAGTCATTTACGTTGCCAACGCTAGCTCCCCTACAAGGTGGAGCATTTGGACCACAAACTACACCACTTCCACTTCCTGTAGCGCCACCAACAGGTGGTCAGGAGTCGCTTTTACCGATTCAGGACCAGGTAAGGGACATTCTGGAGTATTTCTGCCTTGTAAGAATAGCTGTGAGCCCTATACGGCTAACCCTTAAATTTTAGAATAATTACCAACAAAATCAGTACCAACAAGTTCAACAGCAAGGTCTACCTCCTCCACAACTGCAGGCTCCACCACCGCAACCGCCACAAGGTTTTTTGGAACTTTCTTTAATGAATAATCAACTTTCAACTTTTTAGGAAATGTTCAAGATCCCAATCTTTTTGCCGATGCAATTCCAGTAGATGCAACCACAAGAGCAACGACTTTACCGAGTGAAAAGTGAGTTTTACGAATGAGACAACCGCAGCTAAAGGTCAATCACGGACGAAGGCGGTGATATCTTCGCGAAACGGGCGCGAATGCGGTGGTCGAGCAATAATGGCTGAAGCGCACTGCGCACACCAAAAGCCGCCACCGCTCGTGCGTCGCGTGAGCGTATCGTATGCCTGCGGCAGCCTTCGTCCGGGAATAACATTCAACATAGTTGGCGTAAATTTTGGCTGCACTATAGCACAATTTACGTATATATTTTTTTATCAATCGATTTTTTTCAAAGCTATGGATTATCCTCATGTAATTTTGATATAGTTGCATAATGGTCAGAAGATAAGCAACTAGGAGAGTTTTTTCAAATTTTATTTTCCAGATATGTAGAAATGGAATCGCCAGAATATGTACCTCCCGCTTCATTAGACGAGAATTCTGGAAAGTTTGACCTCTATGAGAATCAGCCCAATAGTATGTTTTGAATTAATTCTTATTTGATTAAATCCTCATTATCACTATTATAGACGGCTACCGACAACCCGTACGTCGAGCTATGGCACCATCACCTGCAAACGGAAAGCCAGAAGTGTTCACAGACAAATGTAATGATGAGCGATTGAAGAAAATCATCGAGGATGTAAGTATCTACTTCAAATGAGATAGGCTACGAAAATTTTTGGAAGGTAAGGGACAAAGAGGGGGCAGAACATAGAGTTCAGTCATCTTATCAATTTGCAAGGTCTTTTTGTGACAAACATGCTTTTGCTTTCTTGACTGTTTCATACCCTCACGCGTACTTCCCTACCTCATTTCCCGAATTTTTCTAAGGATTATCCTGTAGCTGCTACAGACGAGTTATTGCACGCAGAGACAGGGCGCCATTGCGGACGCTGTCTGCGTCTCTCTCATCAAGCGCTCTTTCATCTCTCCCACCGTCTGAAGCCTCTTCCAAGTACTTACTATCTCACTCAGACGCAATGCATCCGTGTCTGCGTTCAACAACCCGTTTCTACTTCTTTTTACGCGCGTAAAAACTTGCTTCTGGTTGACGCACATTGTGTAATTGCACACTACGCACGAGAAAATCCAGAACTCTGAGAAAGTAAGAGTCAATTTCTTTGCCACCTGTCTTCGGCATATTCACCCTCTAACATTGACCGTCCCCCCCCCCCCTCCCCTCCCACCAACCTTCCCTCCGTCCCAGCAAATCATTCGTACGGCTGCAAACTACAACAGCTGGCTCATCGCTGACCTCAAACAACCAGACCGTTGTGACAGTTGTCCTTCAAATGCGCAGTAAATAGCAACACATTTAGAATATTGATGCCAATCCATCGTCATCGAAACGAAAAATTCAAAAAGCAGCTACGGACCAGATTGGTGGACTATTCGATGTGATATGCTCAAGTCATGATTTTAGCTATTTGGCTAATACTCAGGTAAATTTTTCTAGGACTCGAGCCAATTTTTTTCTGGAAAATGTGATTTTAGCTCTTCTGCGAGGCTGGCAATGACGATATCACGTGTTTCGCATTTTTACACTCGCTGATCCAGAAAAGTTGATACCTCGTTATAAAACGCTCATATTTGTTTTCATAACAAATTATATTCTTAATTTATATAAATCTTTTAAATTATACTTGGCAAAAAACACTTCATTACGACATAAATAATGAATTCTCATTATGTCTGCAAGTACACAACGAAATCTTCTTAAACAAAGGAGAGACATGGACAAAACGAGAAAAACCGCAAACTACGACGTTACGAACGTAGAGAAAAATGAAAGATAGAGTAAAAAAATAATTTTGACAAAAATTATATTGTGAGCGTTGAGGAGAGACAAGAGCTGTGAGCGATGACAATATGATGACTTTAAGTCCTCTGGCTGCTGACCAAATCGTGTTTGATCGCTTTCTCATCCAAATCCGATAAATCCGATGCTTGGACCTGAAAAAAAAGAAGAATTCAGTGGGTTAGACTTCTTATGCAGAAATCGAGAGCTTCAAAAATCTATGAAATGTATCGAGATCGTGAAGCTCTTGGCGCCGCATCACCTCAGCAAACAACAAAAATATTTGCATTGTGGAAAGAAAGATGTTTTTACCCAATGAACTCAAGTGGTGTGAGGAGGAAAATACTTCCGCCCTCCTTTCACGAGTACACAAAATTTTCCAAGCCCTACATCTGTGTACTCTACGACTAATTTGGTATTTCTCATGAACGAAAATGCGAGCAGATAATCAGTTCTCTTGATCTGTAATGCATTGAACGATAAAACAAAAAATACTGGATCGTTTTGCGTTTTCGCGAGACTCATACAGTACTGCTACCAATGGCAATGCAAAAATGTTCTCCTAAAAATGGTGGATGGGGGGGGGGCATATTTTTGTCACTTCGAGTTCACTGACGTTGGCCACGCCTGCGAATATTTTTGAGAACCTAATCAGACTTTATGCAAGACTGCAAGTCTCGAATTGCAAAACAAAGGGATTGGTGGTTGTACTACACCCTAAAAAAATTTCTTACAAGACTGATTCAAACTTTTAAAAATTGGGCCTAATAACTCAGCACCGCCTCCGCGGTCCACTGGTCTCATATTCTGGCGAATCATGATCAGCATTCCATGGAGGCGGTGCCTGATTGAGGAACTACTCAATCACTCCTACCATCAAAAATTCTTAAGAAATAGTTTATAAATATTTGCGAGTTAAACAATTTACTTGCATGATATTATGGCTCACCTAGACCATTTACAAAAATTTTGAGACCCCAAACTTATGCGTCCCTAGTTACAATATATCATTTCTCCATCGTTACAGTGATGCAGTTGAAAGCAGAATTCTCAGTGATCCAAGAAAACTGTTATAAATCTCCATTCTACGAAGGCTAGTTTGGCGTAGGATCAAAATGATGTGAGTGGAAAGTTCAAAACGTTTCGAAATGTATATAGTCGATGTCAATTACGTACTCCCTTTCGCATGGAATGTACGCATGCGCAACGCAAAGGCCCTCCGCGCGGACCTCCAATCGATGAGGCCCGTTTGAATGCCTGAGCCATACGCGCGCGAACGTGACGCGAAGTTCACTGCGCTTACGGAAAAGGGAGCTCGTGATTAACAGGGACTTTACCAAGATACAAAAATTCAAAACCATGTAAATTTTTAGGCTTTATTATTAGTACTGTTTATTTTCCCAGAACGATCAAACTGTTTACCTGCATAAGCGATTCTAATCCAAGCGTAGACTTCAGTGCACGTACAGAAGATGCGTACAGCATTCGACGACGTACTGGTGCTTCATCAGGGCAGCTGGAAAAAGATAAATTTACATAGCGATTCTCAATTTTCAGGCCAGCAATCTATTTCGTAAATGAGACTGCAACCAAGCCCAAGCCTATTTCCTAGAGGAAGCCCATTATCTACAGAAAAAGTGCAACAATTTAGCTACGCTTCAACGGCTCTTTGCAGAATAATTACGTCCATTTGCTAGGAGAATTGTACCCATTAACATATCTGAAGAGTAAATGGCACAAAGATGGGCCTTTTTTACAAAAAGAATTTTGGAGCCAATTGTGGAAAAGCAGGTGAAAATAAGAAAAAAAAGAAGACTAGACTCACTACTGTACGAAGATAACTTTGTTCAACTTGCTTCCTCCTTCTGTACCCTGTCGTTGAACTTGTACTTCCACATCAACAGCTGCGTATCTGGAAGAAAAACCGTAAAATTAATAAATCAGTCAATTAAAACAACCCCCATATGGATGCTACAGTATCCCTACAGTCACCCAAAATATACTGGTAGAGAAAGTTGTAGACATTTTGGGACAGTAAAACATCAGAAAGAAAATCGCTATGATTAGAGTGTATTACGGTGACGTGATTAGAGCATATTACTTAGATGCTTAGATGGCCCGGCTTCACGTGACGTGCGGGCCCCAGCTCAGAAGTTTCCATTTCTCCCTGTCCCTCGCTTCAGACATCCACGATCTTCTTGGCTGACGTCGGTGGCTGCGTCCACGAGTTCCAGGTGCAAAAATCGTATCCAGCTGATTTCTCAGCTGGTCCATCCGTTCCACGAACACGTCTGCCCATCTCGTTGGAGGTCTTCCTCGGGGACGTTTTGCTTCGCGAGGAATCCACTCCGATGTTCTTAGTGTCCATCTGTCGTCTGTTCTTCTCATGATGTGGCCGGCCCATTAGAGCATATTACACAATCGATAATCGATTGAGATAGCGCGCAGCGCATGCGCACAAAGCTCCGCCCAGCGCAAACCTTAAAATATGCTCATAACTGAACTTTCTCACCTGCATTCTTTGCCTCCGTCAACAGCTTTTTTCATCTCTTCAATAAATTCTGAATATGGTGCTCCTTTATCACCGACTTTCTCCACAACGATAGCTGTGTCATTCTTATCGATCTGAAAAGAATCATAATAAAAATGAAGAAAAGACGGATAAAAGCAGAAAATTACCTTGAAGATGATATAACTGTGTTGATGTTTGTTATGCAGCATATCGTAAGCATTTTTGCATGATGGATCAATCTTTACACCAGAGGCCTTGAACAGATAAAGAGTAGTCAGACTTCATATAAAAACCATAATATTGTGTAACCATAAAAAAATTGGTTGATTTAGAAATGTTTCACTGCTCAGCTCAATTTCACCAACCAATATCGAATGACAATTGCTAAAGAGATACAGAAATGGAAATTGTTTGATTATGTACATTTAGATCAGTAAAGTTTTCTTTTAGATCTCATTCCGCTCTTCTTGAATCTATCACCTTTCGTTCAATACTGAATGGATCTAGTGGATTTACAATTATTATAGTACCACATCGGTCACGGCAACATTTGCGCGCAACAGCTGCCTGGCTTGGACAAGGCGACAACTTGCTTCGAAATGCGCGTACAAAATGGATATATAGCGCACATTGCTGTTGTTTACGCGTAAATGTTGTCAGAAAAGCAAATGCGCCGTGATAACCATTTCAGGCTATAGCAAATCATAAAAAAAAGAGGGCATTGATAAGCCAAAACGGTATCCACCAAATTTTAGATTATTTTCCTAACATTGACATTTCTTGGGTGGGGGACTATATGTCGCCGAATGTGGAAAAGTCCCGCGCGGATTTCCTGCAGGAACGCATGTCCGCGCATATATAAAGGTGCGCATTTGTCGCAAATGACCGCGGGGACCGCCCTTTTTCGGCGACATATAGTCCTCTACCCACATTTCTTGGAGATGATGTTTGTTGGCATCTGTTCACTGTATCAATGTCTGCTGGCCCATTCTCAATGGTACAGATTTACAAAAGTACTGATTATGCAAAATATTCCCAGACTTCCTTATGTGCCAAAGCTGTATTAGTGTTACAGTTTTGTCGTGCTGGGACCCACGCGGACACGCCCGGCGTTAACCGATCGGCATCCCGGCACGACGCTAGCATGGCGCTGGAACGGGACAGGCAAAACTCTGACACGGACAATCCGGACGTCGTCTAAGGATCCACAATTCTTAACAAATAACTTCAAGTTTCAAATCATTTCCATAACTGATACATTTCATTAGAAAGGATTAGCGTGATCAAATTCTGACTTTTAGTTACAAAATAAAATAATTTTGTATATATCACGAACTTTTTATGGATCAAAGGATTCAAAGTGTCAAAGTTATTTGCTTTTGATTTTAACTACCGCGAACCTCAACGAACTTTGGATTTCACTTTTGCTTGCGTTTCTGCCATTCATATTAGAGATTGATTCCTACTACAACTGACATCGACGCACAATCAAGCATGAAATTGTTTCCAGGGAGATCTACCTTCTCACGACCGAAATTGAGACCGGAGTCCACAAAAACCTGCGATGGTTTGCTGACGCTGACAATCACGCTATTATCTGAGCCAAGCAGTGAAACATATTCAATACAATGAATTCTCAATTTAAATATGAAACGTTTTTTTTTCAGAATTAAGTGAACTGCATTTTTGAATCAGAAGGCTAACTAATTTGCCAAACCATGCGAGTAAGTTCACTACAAAACTCGTTCGAAAAGCCAATACCTATTATCTATTTATTTTACGCGCACAACGGTTATTATCACACATGAGAACAATAAAAAAACATCAAATAAAGTCTTCTTTATGAAAAAAATTACACCGAGACGATACATTGCTGTAGCGCAACGAAGGGAATGAAGCGCAGGCGAGCGGGTGAGCAGAAGTGCGAATGCCTTTGACATAGACCGCCATAGACATCTGCACTCCAAAAACTCAAATGCACCCTAACAAGACATTGGTGGCGATATTCGGAGGCAAAAAAATTGGATATAAAAGAGAAAAAACCGTGTGTTAGCAAATGAGACGCAAAGAGGCACACGCAAAAACTGTTTGTGATGGTTATTTTCACAACGACACTCACACACAACACGCACACGCATTGAGAATCGGACGTGTTTCAGTGGGTATGAATGAATAGGGATGCTTTAGAGAAAGGTAAGAGAATAAAGAGAAAATTTAGAAGAAAAACAGATACGAGCGATGACAAGTGAAACACGCCAGAAAGAAACAACAATCTTTTGCGGCTGTGTGGGCGCGTTGGTTAGAATGTGACACCACCAAACATGCTCAGTTGTCCGCATATTTCTCCGTCAGCTTGGACAGCAGCTCTTTATGGGACATCTCCGATTCGTCGGATACCTTAATTCAACTTTTATAGAGAAAAAAATAGACTCGCAAAACATTTAAAAGAAGGCAAACAGAAAAAACAACAACTTCCATGGGCCACGAGTGTGACTACAAAACAGATTACACATGTGTACGCTGCTTATTCCTCACCTGGAACTGAAGGATCTTTCCGGTTCCGAGTGATGCTTTGATAGCAGATGCAGAAGATGCGTACACCATCTTCTTTTTGATCGAAGCGCCATCTGGGCATCTTAAAAATAAGCAAGAACTAGATGTGTACAAAAAACCCATTTTCAATTCTGCGCACACATTGAATCACCAACACAAATAAAATTGTCAAAAAGTAACCAACAAACTCACAGCTGTAGGAAAACAATCTTATCCATTTTCGAGGTACCAGCGCCTACACGGGAGCATGTGAATTTGAAGTCAAAAACGGCATAACGGCAATCTGTGAAGCCATCAGTACGGGCCTGAAAGTTGAGCTTGAAAACGCATCAAGAAGCACAACAATTTCAAAGAAGCATATGAAGTTTACGACCACTGGAGTTATGAAAGAGGAGAATTGGCTGACATGGCTGTCTTAGCAAAGCAAAATTGAATGCGGATCCGGAGTCGTGAGTGCCGACGCAGAAAAAAAACGGACGATAGGCTATCAGCAATGTGTTCCTCTCTCAAACACCACCCAAATAAAAAACTACAGTGACTACAATGTGTACCAACATTCCGCACAAGCGTGAAAAATTCTTGGTGTGATAAACTAGGCTCGGGTTAAAATCAAATTTTGCTCGAACCGCACAAGATTTGGAGACGAAATGGGCAGAACCAATAAAAAAGACGTTCGCATATTTGACACACTAACCTTGATATCAGCTACAAATTTCTCGAAGGCCGCTTTCGATGAATCATCGTAGTCATCACCCGTGAGACCTAGTTCCTCTTGCGAAACGGCAGCTTCAACAACAACTTCACGTTCCTACAAGCAAAAGACATGTGACGTCGTTCATCCAGATCTTTTCAAAAAACAAGGTAAACAAAACTGAAAAAAAGATTCACCAAAATTCGATATGAAATCTTACCTCGATCTTGAAAATGATATATCGGAACTCCTTCTTTCCTTCGCTCAGTTTTTGGAATGTCGTCTGCACATCAGGGTTTACCATAACACCGGAGGTCGACTGAAACGTTGTTAAACACACCATTCACACAAAAACCACACCATGCAAATCTCGTTATTTGAAAAGAAAAAACACATAGAATAAACAGTTGGATTAGGAATCATGTAAGCCTTTGCAGGAGAGGTCTTCTTGCGTTCTGGTCAATACGAACAACTTTTCGATCCAAAACTCAAGCAGTAATTTCACGGTAATTTTTCAAAGGAACATGAATTCCTAAAACCGCTGTTTTTACATGATCAAACCATTCTAACGATAAGTTAGTTCTAAGAAAAGCCAATCACCAACTAAATTTCATATATTTGTATATTTTAATCTTGAATCGAAAAAACTTCAGTAGAGAACTGACCATTTTTGTAGATGATAGAGGAGCCGAACAAAGACTAACTGAGCTCGAAAAGCCTGAAAGTGGAAATGAGATAGATCATTTTGCCAAACAATGGATTATCACGTCGCGAATACAAGTCGATATCGGACAAAAACATTCACGAAGGAAGATTGGAATGACAAAACTTTTATTTATATATGAGTGAACGTGGGCGTGAAGCAAACGCACACACTGTGAGCGGCAGCAGTAGTGGCAGCGAGTGCGACGAGGATTCGCAGAAACGAGCCGTGCTCCGAACAGCAGCAGCAGCCGGTGGTGGTTCCGATAAGCGCACAGACAATCAATGCCAAGGTCCCTGACTCATACAACTCCACTTTTATCGTGAACTTTACGGAGTACAATGAATTGTGTGTTAGATGCGAGCGTTCACAAGGGACTGGAATAGACTGGGAGCAAGGTCTCAAGGTTCATTGGAAAGCATGCCCTCCCTAGGTGGTTCTCCTTCAATTCAAATGAATAAATTTCAAAATCTTGGGTATATTTCTTTCATATTCTCTATGGCCCCGGCCACACTTCGCTCAATTGGCCCAAAAGCGCCCAACAGCGCTCAAAGCGCCCAAATTTCTCTAACATCTCTTCAATTCCACTACCTTTCCTCACACGAAAAAATGGATAGACATTAGAGAAATTTAGGCGCTTTTAAGCGAAATCTGGCCGAGGCCTATAGACTATTCTAGGGGGACCGGGCTAAAACGTTGTAATTTTGAGATATATCGTAGAAAAAAGTTTGACCGCTATCGGACATCACCTGCTGCATTGATGCGTGACAGTAAAAGCGAACGCTAAAAGGTTCCGACATTCTCAGCATCACCACGTCATGTTAGCGATAAGCCTACAACGACAAGATTGTACCACCATGAACCATTATCGCCATTCGCAATAACTTATTCAGAATCAAGATGAAGAACTCGAGGAACCTAGCAACATACTTGGCGCTGCTGGCAGAAATTCTTAATGGGAGGAAAAAGCAAGTCAGGCATGTCTAAAGGCAAATTTGTCGAGACTGTACTCTGTGCGAGCCTTAATAACGTATATAAGTTAAAAATTGCAGTTGCCTGTTCTCAGAGGCCCAACTAGAATGGATGAATCTCCGCTTGTTAACAAAACGTTCACATATCAACCAAAGATTAACCAATCAAGATACTCCGTTATTTCGAACAAACTGTGTTCGATGGCAATCTTATAGTTCTCTCGAATTTGTGTATGACCACGCCAGTGTCTTATCCACTTTTTCTCCCAAACTCTATAAAGGCTGCTCCCAACAGCTTCTGGAACCTGTGAAACTGGGCCCAAACGAAAGTGTATGAGCTGATTTTCGCGCTATTCGTAGAGTCTTTGCATTCTGAAAAAAACATTGCAAATTGAAAATCGCTCCACTTCTGCACAACTTAGTCAACACGTTCTTTTCTTCTTAATCGCGCATAATTTTGGAGCAATTATCCTCAAATTCAACATCCTCCCTCCTACAAAGCATGAGGAGTACACTTAACGTTTGCCAACTAGTAAGAAAATTCTCAAAAAAGTTTAGCGTTTATTCTCAGTTTATTCAGGTCTAATGCAAAGCTTAGGAACTTGTATATTTCCTCTCTGCAGTGCTTCACTGCTTATCTGTTGCAAAGTGACAAATGAGTAGCGACTGAGCTTTTTTCGCACAACCATTGCTGCGAAAGTGCAGACGACAGAAGAAGCCTGATCAATCGTGAACGGCTTAGATAATTGCGTTTGACTACATGTATTGTAGTCAAAATACATAACAAGCGATCCAAAAAATCAAAATCAAAATAAAATTACAAGCCATGAATTTATATGAGTAAAAATCAAGAACTTAAGCAGTAAAATCCATAACTCGTTGACATTTCAGAAAGATCAAAACCGCCTTTGCTCTTATCGCAACCAGTATAATTGACACAAGCAACATAACTATGCGCTGCACTTCAGTTCTCAAATACTATAAAGGACAAATGATAAGAACGAAGTCCATGAAATGGGTACGGCCAGCCTCTGCAAAAGGATAGACACTTGAAATCGACCCAAACCACAATTTCTGCTCCCTTGTCCTAGATATCTTTTGCAAACCCGCTGCACTTCTACATGGGTCCTTAATCAATCCTCTTTTGTAAGTGACAGCTCTCCGCTCCAGATTACTAATTGTGCCACGACTGCCACCAACTGTCAGACAATGTTACACAAAACCCCCCATATAGGTCAGCACTTTGTTCGATTGAATTTGCGCCAACACTGATGAGTCATGCATCGTGCAAACATCGTGCAATTTTACAAAACACCCCCATGTTGGATATTTCAGTACGAAAATTCGTAATTCCCTCAAGCGGGATAGAATGAAGGCAGGCTGGCCTGAACAGATGTGCATGGACAATTTAAGCGACATCAATTATGTAAAGATGACTCATACAAGCATTTTAAATGAATGACCTCACGCGTTGCAAGACGACGACGTCGCATAGCGCTACGAAAAATGCACGAATCGATGAATTGTGTGCACAAATTTAGCGCGAACACATATTGGAAATGACTGAAGTGCTAAAGCCCAGCTTGCGGGTAATAACTGGCAGTAAGAGCTTGATTAAAAACATAGCACTAAGACAGCTATACCAACACTAAGTAAGGTGATATGGAGAAAAACAGCGACAAAGTACCCTACGAACATCACCGGCCGGTGACGGGGAACGATGTGGTCAGGCCGGTCTGCCGCGTACCCCGCCGCGACCGCCCGACAGCCGCAATTGGCTGAAACGCGCGCGTTCCCTGCAGGGCGCGAATTTCGAATTTTTGCTCTTGAAAATTTATGACCAATCATCTTCTATCTTAGGAGGTGGAGAAAGGAAATTTTGTCAGATGGAGTACTCAAGACAATTCTACTTGATATCCATTCAAATCGCATATGATAATTGTGGAAATGGATACAATCGATAGGCATAAACATCGCAATCTTGTCAATTCGGAGTTTTTCTCCCCACAACAAACTAGTCGGATTAGGGGAACGTCCCTTACAGCCGCCAGCGACAATCAGCACTTCATAGATGAATGAATCCGTCGTAAAAGCCCAGCAATTTAGGACTTCTAACTGAGATCTTTCAAAGAAACAGTTGATTTTAATATTCGGACTGAATTCGAAAATTGAAAACCGTTCTTTTTTTTTCAAGTTTAGCACATCTAAAAGTAATGCGGATGCGCCGCCCTTCAAAATGACTACAAATTCCGAAAATAAAAGCATAGTGATAAGTGTGACTTTGATGTGGAGGTTTGCTGCTAGCGGAATGGACACTTTGTGCAGATCTGGTGCTAATAGATCAACACTTTTATTACGTCCCCAGTGAGTAAAAAGAGCGAAAGTTGCAAGAGATAATAGAACAAGCATGAGTAACTTTCAATACAACAAGTAACCTCATAGAAAAGACCAAAGGTGACCATTTATTCTGGAACTAGAAGACTCGAACGCGTGGCACACATTGTCTAAACAAGCTTCAACTTGTTCTTCCTAGTTTCTCCGCGTGCAAATTCCTGAATGAGATGAATCACACGTATAAACTTGTTAAAACAAAGTAAAGCTTGTACAGACAGTCCGTGTAAGCGCATTTTTCTCTCAGTCTCAAAATGATTGATATGTGCTCTAAAAGGAACTATGAACCAGGTAAGAGAGCAATACAGCAAGAAAAACTCATAGAAGTAGACGTTACTAAATAATTCCATTACCATTTGTTTCTAAGGTTTCATAAACGGAAGTAAACAGAAAATAACGATACACTATGATATACGTACAGCATACTTGAAAAACGGCGCACCTCGCGAAGGTCGGCGGCTGTCACGACTACCATGAGTCATCGAGAGCCCGAAATCGATTGAACGTGCCACTTTTCCAAGATAGTCTAGTTCGCATAGAATTCAGATTCAAATCGTGAAACTTTATTGCCTCGATTCATTGCTAAGTTCTATTTACACTTCAAAATTTTCACGCTGAAATAGTCCCCACAAAATCAGCCAATGGCACAGCTACTAGCTTTTTGGCCTGTTATTTGCCGTTATTTTGGTCCTGCGACGATTTTACAATTTTTCCCGAAAAGCCATCAACTACCACTATGAATGTCTGTTCTATTGTAAAGAAGCAGCCAAAGTGCCCTAAATCTGCAGCTGCAGCTTTTACGCGACTGTAACAATACGGCTTTACACATTCTGCGCGAACACCGCCGGGATCAAAGTGGATTGAATAGCTGCATAAATTTATGCGGAACAGATGACTCGCAAAATATTTTAAGTGATCAACTAGAGATGTAGTAATTCCAGAGAAATCACAGATTTCGAAGAGAACAAAAACAACATTGTTTTTTTCGATGTTTTGACAGACACGACATAAATATGCAATGAAGCGTTGCGCAACAGAAAAAATATGGACTGACAGATGGAGTGGAAGATTTTCCTGAATGAATGGTAGGTTGCCCAAGAGAAATCTATAGCTATGAAATGTCATTCAATACCGGTATTAGATGACATCATTCTTAAGAAAAAGGGCAAGTAAATTGAAGAAGGGGAGAGCTTGCATAGGAAAATAATGGAAAATGTTTCCAGTGCAGGGATAACAATTTCTCAGAATCGAGAGCCCCAACGGAATTCTAGAACAGCCGGAAAGTGGCATCGTGGAAGCTAAGGCTTGCAAGGTGATAAAAAAAAATGATACTTTGTAAAAATCTGAAAGATCTAAAAAGATAATCAAATGAACAGAGATTCGATAAAGTAGATGGATGAGGAGCATTCCAAGCACATTAGAGGGCGAAGGTGGAAGACATATGGAATCGGAGGACAAAGTGCAAATGAACATATAAGAGACTGATGACACGCAAAGACTAGGTGCCAGTGCGTTCGAGTAAAATAGTTGCATGGGAAAGACAGTAGATGGTAGGAGAAACGAAAGAGCGTTCGATTGGAGAGACACCGAAAAGTCCGCAGTCTTTGCGTGCGATGGATATAGCTAATTGAGGCTGCTCGCGGATAAACTTTTCCAACTTTGCAGAAGCGAGGAACAGGGAACAAGAATACTTCTGTGCTGAGGCCGCACGTCACGTGACGCGCCATCTAAGTATCTGAGTAAGTAACTTCGCAGAAAAACGAACAGAAACCCAATCTCGCATCATAACTCAAAGGCATTGTCCAGGTCAAAAGGGAGATGGCGGGGTTCGGACGGAGTGCGGGAGCACGGCTCTTGACTAGTGCAGCAGTTTAAGTCCGATCGAAAAGGTGCATTCTGAAGCGGGAAAATCGCTTTGGAAAAAAGGGGCGTTCCGCCAATCCCGCCTCCTTCACGAGTTTTGACGTGGTTAAAGGCAGTGGGTCGGCAGAATGAGACCTGTGGCAAAACAAGGTCACAGGGTAGGAGCCCCATAATGGAACCTATGGGCCATAGTTCGATCTTTCTCTGCCACTTCTAACGCCCGAAATTCTGAAGCGAAAGCAGCGCTCATCTCCTGTCCTCTCCGAATCCGCCCACCCCATAGACGAGTGACTTCCGCGGTCAGAGCGCCAGTCGCAATGCTATAAGCATGAGGTCCGCAACGACTCTGCGTCTTCGCCATGACGGGCTTCGCGTTCACTCGTCCATGGGGTGTGCGGGTTCGGAGAGGACAGGAGATGAGCGCTGCTTTCGCTTTAAAATTTCGGGGGTTAGAAGTGGCAGAGAAAGATCGAACTTTGGCCCATAGGTTCCATTATGGGGCTCCTACCCTGTGACCTTGTTTTGCCACGGGTCTCATTCTGTCGACCCACTGCCTTTAATACATTAGATCTACAGCATTCGCCACGTCAGAACTAAAAAGGTGGAATTAGCGGAACGCCCTTTTCTTCCGCTAATTTTCAAAGCGATTACCTCGCTTCAGATTCCACCTTTTTCGATCGGACTTAAACCGTTGCATTAGCCAAGAGCCGTGCTCCCGCAGTTCGTCAAAATCCCATCACCCTCCATTTGACCTGGACAATGCCTTTAAAGGCAGTGTCCAAGCAAAAAAGTCGAATTTGAGATTTTGTGCTTACCCGGGCCTATTCGCCATGCTGAATCCGATAAACCACAACTGAGAGCGCGAAAACGCCAAAAAAGGCCCCAAGCAGGAGGGAAATCGCATGTGGGCGGGGCCGTTAACACTGTGACTCACTCTCTCAGGCTTGGAGCGATCTTCTCGGTTTCGATTTTACGTCATGCGTTTCGCAGTTGTCTGGTGGTAATGCTAGGGCGACTAGCGGAAGCGAGATCGCTTCTGAAGCTGGGAGAGTGACGCCACTATGTGGACAGCCCCGCCCACCTGCAATTTCTTCCCCGTTAGAGCCTTTTTTTTCGCCGTTTTCGCGTTCTCCAGTGTTGATTTTCGGATTCAGCATAGCGAATAGGCCCAGGTAAGCACAAAATCTCGAAATTGACTTTTTGCTTGGACACTGCCTTTGACGAGATGCAATACATTTTAATTTCCAGTTTACTCATTTCAAACAAAAACCATGTCCTAATATAAAAGCTATCCACCAGCTTACTTTCGCAACATCTGATTCACCTATCACTGACGTGCAGAAAAAGTTCCACACGACTGAGCACCTGTTCGGCCTAAACCCGCTGAGTGAGCAAACTGTCTCGCATTGTTTTGCTGGCACCAACCACTCAGCTGCTCTATGGCGGCGATAAGCGCAGCAATACACAGCAATTATGTATTTAGGTGAGGTGACCAGTGGGGGCATAAATGGTTCCCTACGATGCTCTTCCCATCGAAGAGACAGCTTCATTAGTGACAACAATCGATGCAAGAATATGAATATTTCCATTCATAGATGAACTTGTAGAAGTTTACCTTTACTAATAGTCTGTATATAACCTGGCAGATTTCAAGGTTATTATAGAGTCTCGGCGATGCTGACAACACCTGTGCGAAGAAAAAGATTGCCGTATTTGAGCTACCGGCAACATATGCGTAAATAATGGGCACAGCGTACAAATTTCCAGATCTTTTTTCCCACTAGATTTCGAAAAAATTATCTGCACTACTCGTATTCTGGGCAGATAATTATGCTCTGTCATTAAGAGACGTGCCAAACTTAATCGGTACAACGGTTCATCCGATTCGCCATTGGTCGATTCAGTGTCCTGACCAATAGCGAATGAGGAAACCGAACGAACCCAATGAACCGGTTAAAACTGGCACCTACTCAACGAACTGAGTACTCGAAGCTTGATATGCGCTAACGGAAAGCAGAAATATTGCGTCAACTCTAAAATGTGCTTGGCGTGCGATGGCGAGCATGATCAATCACTCGACTACAGCTATTATCAGTGCGCATGTGAGACTCTATCTCTTTGATGAAGCTTCTGGGAGGCTAACCCAATGAAATAAAGAACTGGTTGTCTTAGCAATTTTTGGCTCAGTGTATGACTGCTCGACAAGTCCTAGACTCCCTACATGGAAGTAATTCAGTCACGCCATGAGCAGATCGATAGGGATCGCTATCAAGTCTTGATCAAGAAAAATGCTTGCGAGAAAAAATTGGAAAAAAGAACGACAAATCAAAGTTTTGACTGAGTAGGTGGTGCGAAATGTGTGTTTCGACATCAGCTGCCGGTTATTTCGAGCTCTGAGCGCGGGGTTTTGTAAACATGCTCGGTATCTTTGATGATGGAAATGCAAGCGAAAGTCTAGACAAGTCAATGCTGTTGCGATAATTTAGCAGATAATATAACTACCGTCAGATCACGACTCATCTGGTGCAACTAGACCACAAATCAAATCGTAATTTTTGCATAAAAATTAGATGAAAGTATCTTTGTTCCCTGGAGCTCCCTGACTTTTCTACATTGCAGTCCGTTATCTCAAAAAATGCCAGACACACAAGAAACTTCAAGGACATGCTGGGGTGCGATTGCACCAGGTTACCCAAGGTTTGATACCTACTATATAATGAAAACTTTGGTTTTCACTTATGAAATTGATTTTGAAACCTACTAATGATGGTGATATGTACAAAAAGTTGTTCTTATACAACAATTGGGTTTGGATGGATCACACTGTATGGATGAAGACTTTCGCAAAACGATTTCGAAATTTAAAACAACGACGAGATGAACGAGCTCTGCGCTGTTGGTGTTGAAAACGCGAACGGATGGAGGAGAAGGAGAGTGGGATATATGCGGATGGGTGGAGGGAGAACGAGATGATGGGGGCGGCAGTCGGTGCCGCTCGCTTTACACTCGAAGTCAGTCGAGTCAGGAGGCACCGGCGACGGTTGCGCGCCTGCCTGCTCGACCGGCTTCCGCAGATTTCAGAGCAGAAACTGGGCCAGACCGAGAGACAACACTGCGCGGATTGCGGAAAAAGTGGACACATTGTGTGGATTGAGTCAAGCTTTGTGGATTTGACGCAAGAGATCGATAGAGAGGACGAACAAAAGATCTCAATCTGATATTTCTACCGAAAACTGGCAATACGTACGGCGAGGGCGTAAATTTTGATGACTCAGCACGACAAAGTGCGTATGTAAACCGCTAAGGTCATTTCACACCTCCGGCCTCCCTCGAGATTTTTTATAGAAACTACCATTCATCTGAGTTGAGCTTGGAGTCAGTTAGAGCCCAGAAGATTCACAAACGGGAATAACACTGAGTACATTACGAGATATCCTCCAACAATAACTTAATTAAAAACAAAAAAGAAATGAACGAAGGTTGGATTAAGTATGAAATCTCTTACTAAGAAAAAAAACCATTATGACTCGGCAACCCACCGTTTTCGCCATATGTTACATTCTTTTCCCTCACGAAATCACACCCATAAATCTGCAATAAAATATGAAGTAAACTAGAGCGCTGACGTTAATGCTGTCATTTCTTAGTACCGAATGTGAACGGAACATGAGAACTGCGCTAGAATAAATCATGTTGCTGATCCAGTTTCGAACATCCTACGAATCAGGATTAACACATGTAAGACCGGACTCAGATAATTACAAGATTTCAGTTTGTTCAACGAGCATTTAACAGGAACTTCCACATGGTAGGGAAATCAAGCCTTACGTGTTCCTCTTCTGTAATTATATCAATTATAACTGCCAGACTGACTGTAACTACGAAGCTATCAGAACTGGCCAAGCCTGTCCATAGACATGGGATATGGAAACATAAGATTGTTTGTGTCGGAAGCTGAGTCATCGAAGAACAAGCTGCATATGTTTCGAAGGTCACCACAGCTCACTGCTGGATAGAACGAGACAGACAGCTGCGACGCGACCGCGTTACGACACTGATCGTAAAGCGTGCACTTTCATGGTGAGTCAACATGCTATATAACTGAAACCTTTTCTGCTACTTTTTATTTTCCTAGTCCCTAATTGATCTCAGCTTAACGCTTTGATTTTTACAGTTTTCCCGAGTACAGCTTGTGTCAATTAAGTGTTCCCTTTTCCGTCGGAACAATTACTACGCCAGCATTTTACGCCACATTTGCGCACGTACGACTTGGACGTCTCAGTTAACCTTCTTGATCAAAGGTTTCACGCAAGCCCCCCCCCCCCCCGTTGCGGATGCGTAACAACTACGAAAATAATGGCAGTGACTACATAGTGCAGGCAGATAAGCTGGAACTATTTCAGTATGAATGAACCTCGCACAAACAAAAATAAAGAGGTACAGTAAACCTACACCAAATTCCCTTGCTCATTAAACATGCTTTATGAGTTGTAACTAATTTACAAATGACAATGTACATATATGCAATCATGATCACCCAGCGCCTATATCACGGCTAAAGGAAAGCATTATGGCAATAATAGTCAACTTCAGAACTACGTTATGTTAAACAGTAGGAAACTAGTTCTACGATTACATGACCATGTCGCAATCATCACCACTTCCAAAATGAACAATTTACAATGGAAAGCTATATGCTGCACATACAATTCAAATTGCATGAACGACAAGCTAGTGTTGACATGCGACTTCTAAGAGAAAAAAAAACACTTTTAGCTTGAAGTCGCAAACCTCACAATTAGCGAGCAAATACTCTTACACAAACAGCTATTCCCAGAAACCGGATAGAAGCGTAAATGCTGAAACAAGCACCTACCGCCTAGCAAGATGTTCCACCAAAGAGAGCTCGAGCAATAGTGTTTGTATCGGCACTAGCACCTGTGCCAGCTCCACCGAATCTGCCAGCGCCTGGATATGGCGGCGCTGCGTTTCTATCTTCATCGCGCTCTGTCACCAGTTGTTTCTGCGCCCAAACAATCATTCGCAGCAGTGCCTCAAGTCGCGGCGCTGCCGGTCGGTTTAATGCTCGTAGCACAGCGCCGTTCACTTCAGTTGAAACCTATAACATTGAAAATCTTATCTTCCAGCAGAACATCTATAACGCCTGATAAATGTTTCTCCATGCGCAATAAGACGCAATACACTCCGTCTCATGGAAATCTAATGCAGACTTTTGCATTCTCTCAATCACATCACGGTTGCACACTGCAAATTCCAAATGACATGCACAAGTTCGAATAATGCCTTTAAGTATTAGGATCACTTACACACTGCTTCTGTAGGACCGAAGCTAGCGGCGCAACGATGGGAACACGGAGGCGCCGCTTATGGAGCAAAGCTACGCCGCATTTGCCTGTGGTATATCCTGAGGGCCCTTTGCGTTGCGTCGCTCCTAATTGCAGTCGCAGAGGAGCTAGCGCTACCGAGCAAATTGAGCCATTTTCCTCACTCTCCATAGATAAAGAGACCAAAATGTGAATAATAAACGCATTTCAAAAGCGAATCAAATATAGAGTATGAGGAGGAAAAGTCTGCAAAGCAAGCCAAGAGAAAGTAAAAGATGATTGAGTTAATTCTTGGAAACTCATGACGGAAAATTTCTATCCTTTTTCTCTACTAATTCTCGTGTTCCACTTCTCTTGAACATTTTTAGCTCAAATCAAGCATTGCATCATCTCAGATTCAGCCCTTCATTCATCCCTAGAATTCATTCATTAATTTTTAATTTTCTGAATTGCCGTCTTCTTTATTTTCCTAGTAGCACCTCTACAGTTTCGACATATCAGGTCGTAGTAATAGGGAAGGGCTCGCTACTCCTGCGCAATTAAAAGCGACGCAACGCAAATGGTCCTCAGGATATACCGCAGGGAAACGCGGCGTAGCTTTGCTTCATAACGCCTGCCCCCCGGGAAGTATAGACCCAAATCGTGGTTATGAGATTTTGATGATATATAATAATAGCGGATGAAGTAATTTGCCAAGTCCAGCTGCAGAAGGTGGATTCAGGAGGGAAAAAATTGCTCCAGAAAATAGAAGCAGAGGTGGTCACTCCGCCCAACGTGGGCCGAAGATACAGGTCTAGAATTTGGCCTGAATGTGTCCAAATAGATTATCCGTTTCATTTTTTCAGACTTTCGATAGTTTTGGACACTTCGAGCCCGATTCTGGACTCGTATTGCCAAGCCACCCATGCTGTTGGACGAAGCGACAACCTTCTGAGCATTTTTTCGCTTCGGAAATTCTCTATTGCAGCAGACTTAGGCGACGTAGTTGAGCAGCGCTATTGTCCGTATCGAAATCTCATTACACTTTTTTTGAGCGGACGGTGCAAAGACACTTTCCTTTCCGAACTGCAGCGGTAATGGAATTTCAAAGGACCATAAGAAATGCGCTACAGAACAACGTTGAAGCATAAAGGCAGAAACCACATGAGACATGCAGTAGATAGTACAGGGTACAATATAGATAGTACAACATCATCAAATCAAAAAACTTCGGAGTAAAAACACCCGATGTGAGAACATAAACTCCACCAAAGTACGCAAAGCAAACCCCCTTCAAGAAGTATCTCACTTTTATGACATATGCGTGTCAGTCAAAGACAGACACAACGATGGAAATAAATACAAGAGTCAGAGAGAAGAGCGCTAAAGAAACAGAGATGTGGCAAATTCTGCCCGTTACATGGATCAATAAAGCAGTTAGCCACACTATGGACACTGTTTGATTGTCGGATATGACGCTATTCGAGTACAGCCAAACACCACATTGACAGGTGCAAACAAAAGCGCTGAGTGCAGTTCAAAAATTGAGATCAAAAGGAAGCGGAACTGGTTCCACAAGCTCAGAATTTTTGTAAACAAACCAAATCAACATATCATTTTCTTCGTGCCTGAATATACAGCTCGTCCTAGAGCGAGGAAGTGAGTATTCAAAAAGTAGAAGCTGTTTACTTTAAGGACGCATTAGGCCCCGGACAGACTTCACGCGATTTGATCGTCGCGACTGAATCGCGACGATCAAATCGACGAGACAACTGTTACAACATCATTCCATGCCGAGCAACTTGCATTTCGGTTGTGATACTTTTCCAGTCCGAAATTTTTGAATGTGAAATGAAAATGAATGGAAATGTCGGCGATTGAGTCGCGACGATCAAATCGCGTGAAGTCTGTCCGGGGCCTTACAGCACGCAGCAAAGCACTGAATCCGTAAAAATGAAAATCAAATAATATAGAAAAACATACCATTTGTCTCTGCGATTGATCCAACAGTTTTCCAAATGGACTTTCGGCTGGTTTCTCAAATGCCAAGAGCGCGAACGTCTTCTCTAACCTATCTAGCTGAGAGTCAGTTAGAGTGGGATCATTTGAGAGATTTTCTTGAGCGTAATCTAGGGATTTCTCCATTTCTCTGTAAAAAATAAACTTAATATAACAAGCCAAAACAACCACATCACTAACCCTCTTCTAATCATTTCTATGATATTCTGTTGCATCAGATGGAAGCGAACCTCTCGATTCTCGTCTAAAAGGGTAGGACACAACTCTTTCACCTAAAAATAGAATTTCAAATACTGGAGTTGACGGACGATGAAGTTACCAGTCTCAGGGCATCTTCCAGTCTTCCTTCGATAATTGCACAGCGTATGTTCATACGCGCATCCAAGTTTTTAATATCATCCTTGGGTAGCTCCAATCCTGACTCCTGGCACAACAGCTCTGCTGCCTGGAAGGTGAAAGATAAAAGACGAATAGATCACAAGAACTACAAAATCCTTCCTTGAAAAGATGGACCCACCTCTCTATAGCCCTCAGATATTAGATAATCCACAATGAGCTTTCCCATTTCCTGTGATGTAGGAATAGGAGCGGGATTTGCTGAAAAGGCCTTAGATTTCAGACATCTTCCTGAAAAGATTAGCGATTGCAGAAGCAATAGACAAATCAAAAAAGCTGAAATCCAACGGCAATGACATTTTGACGCCAACGCAGAAAATACACAACGCGACGGCTCCACGCAGATGATGAGTGTAAGCAGCAAAAGCGTGCATTTCTGGATAAATTTTAACGATTGTCCGCTAAAGATACACCAGACAAAAAGTAAATGAGCCGAGAGAGTCCATCAATTTCTTCAAGTATCCCTAATCTACTGACTCGACAATGGGCAGCGGTATGATCTATTTCAGTCGGCAAGATTTAAGAGGTGCTTGAATTTATAATCTGGGAAGTAAGGATTGCTTGGTCTTAGGTCTGGGGCATAGTTCACGCAATCTCATCGCCGCGATTCCCCCAGCAAGACAAACGGGTCCGTGGCATGTCGATCATTTTGCATTTTGGTTGTGGCAGTTAGCCACGATTGGTCGTGTTGGAGAACTATCACAACCAAAATGCAAGATGATCGGTATGCAATAGAAACGTAAGTTTGTCTTGTCAGGAGAATAGCGGCGATGAAATCGCCTGAACTCTTCCCGAGCTGAGAGTCTAGATACCAATGATATTCCCTTATTAACTGCAGCAAGAGTAATTCCAGTGCTCTGATGGTGCCCTAAATTCCACCAGAAAGTAGTGAGATATATCAAAAATTTGTCCTGCGGCTGAACTTTCGCACACTTGTGACTACTGAGATCTAGGCTGTATATTGTTGAAAAAATACTCACGCTTGTTCTTTTCGTCTGCATCGTCGCTAGTGCTGGATGACTCGCTTACATCGTCATCAGATGAATCCTGGGTGCTGTCGGTAGCCATGTCTTCGTTCTGAACATATAAGTCAAACTAAAAGGGAATAAACTGCTATGGATTCCTTACATGCGAAGAGTACGCAAACGGATCGTCATCGCCATCCGAATGGCGTTCCTCTTCCGCGCGAGGAGCAGCTTCTGCTGGATGTTCCACAGCAGGAGCTTCCTCGCTTATAGCAGGAGCTGCTACGTTAGCCGGAGGTGGCACAGCTGCAGGGATTTCACGGTTGATGGATAAGGTGAACGAGAACGTACCATGGTGGTCTGGCGTGCTGGCACGAGATGAATCGCTATATACTGCGCTGCTACCCGAATATGATGAAGAACTTGACATCCTGCAAGTATGAATTTTGAAAAAAAAAACTACATGGCATGCCGCAATAATCACATAAGAAATAGGAAACACTATTTCCAACAAAACAGATGACTTTGGGCAAAAATATCCACAAATTGAGTGTTGTGTACATAACCCTTCAAAATACTAGTATCAAAAACCTAAAACATGTGTCAAGTGGAAGAAGCACTCATGGAAAACCAAAAGCTGAAAAGGTGGAAAACTCTTCCGACCAAAAAAGTGCAGTCGACTGGATTTTTATTGACACAAGCCGTAAAATTGCATGTGGCCGCAGTCGCACCATCGCGGATTTGTCGCCTGCGGGCTTTTGAATTTCGCCAATTTCGTGACTTGTCACTTCATACTTGTTTTATAACCTCTCTGGAAGTCTTATATATACATCAAATTACTTTAGGGTAGCACACTACACCCAGAAAAAATGCAAACTTTTGCGGTGAGTTGGATAGCCTGTAGATTGCAAATTGAATTAAATCTCTTTGCTCATTCAGTGTCATCCACTTTCTACGATACCAAATGTGCACAGCTTTGCACCCGCACCACCTTCAATACATTTCCAACAAAAACTGGTAGTAGCGTCCAAATTTCAAGTCGTTGTAGCTGTGTCAAGCAACCATGAGGTGAGTAATTTCCTTCGTTCTTCTTAGTCGAACCATGGATAGAAACAGTGTGAAATGTCAAAATTGGGTTAGAAAATTGATCATTGACGTTCTGAAAGAGTTTAGAAAATAGCCGTATTCGTTGACTCAGGAGAAATAAGGGGAAAACCAATGCAATCAGGGTCTCTAAGAGCTCACAAACTAGCCGAATTCGTTAAGTACCGTATACATACCGTCTTTAACGTTTGTGTAAACTCACCCAAAGCTGGCATGGAGTGATTGATGCGGTACGCCAAGAACCTCTGACAAGGAAGTGCTCAAGCCCCAATGAAAGAAACCACGCTTCAGAAGGTGATTAGAGGCAGCCCCGCCCATCATGAGTAGTCTGAAGCCGCTATGTCCGAAAAGCTGGGCTTCAGATTATCCACAAATGTGGAGAATTTACTTCATCAGAATCTCTTCTCAATTATTCCGAATGCTTTGAAGTCGATTCGGGCCCATCAACCTCAGCCACCCACTCAGTAGAAGGGGCTGTCTCTGCCGCATCTAACTATTTTCTAAGCGATTTTCTCGTCTGGATTTCAAATTTTTCAGCAGGACTTGAGTCAGTTAGTCAGGGTCCACTAAATGTCCTTGTCTAAGGCCTCGGCAGGACCTCGCTCAAAAGCGCCCAAAAACGCCCAAAAGCACCCAAATTTCTCTATCCTCTCTTCAATCTCACTCTACTGTCCTCACACAAGAAAGTGAAGAGAAGAGCAGTGTGTGCGCTTTTGGGCGCTTTTGAGCTTCTTTGAGCACTTTTCAACGCTTTTGGGCGCTTTCGGACGCCTTCAGGCCTCGGACAGAGTTCACGCGATTTGTTCGTCGCGATTCAATCACCGCCGCGATTTCCATTTATTTCCATTTTACATTCAAAAATTTCGGGCTGGAAAAGTAACACAACCGAAATGCAAGCTGGTCGGCATGCAATGAACTCGTAACAGTTGTGTTGTCGCGATTGAATCGCGACGATCAAATCGCGTGAACTCTTCCCGAGGCCTCGCTTCTGGCGAAGTGTGGATGAAGTCGTGATGAAAACACTGATAGAACATCGAACCCCTAAAATTAGCGAATCGTGGGATTTATAAGTTTGGAGCGAATATGTAGCTTCGCAATGCTTGCTTGAAAACACAACTTTTTGGTTTCAACGGTAGTTGTATCAAAAAAAAAACGAACACGAGGGATGAGAGAATTTACAGAATTTACAACGCCAGAGAGGTGAAATGTTAATTTTGAAATTACTTCAGCTTGTATCCTGGCGAAGCAGCATTGCCCACGAATCCGCAGCTGCAGCATTCGGAGGTGCTAAACAAACCAAAGTCACTGCTCTGGAGCCACAGGTTTTCTTCTTGCGCGTTTTATAGCTTTTTCATCGCCGCAACAGTTTTTGATGTTAAAGGCAGTGTCCGGGCAAAAACTCGATTTTGAGATTTTGTGCTTATACGGGCCTATTCGCCATGCTGAATCCGAAAATCCACATTGGATAGCGCGAAAACGGCGAAAAAAGGCTCTAATATAGGAAGGAAATTAGCAGGTGGGCGGGGCTTTCCCAAGTGCGATTTCACGCTCCTAGTTCCCGGAGCGATTTTCTCGATTCCGCTAGCCGTTCTAACATCGCTACCGGCCAAGTGCGAATGATTGACTTGAAACCGGAAGCGAAAAGGTCGCTCCGGAAGCCGGGAACGTGAATTCGCAGTGGGGAGGATCCCGCCCACCTGCTCATTTCCCTTATGCGTTAGAGCCGTTTTTCGCCATTTTCGCACTCTACAATGTGCATTTTCGGATTCAGCGTAGCGAATAGGCCCAAGTAAGCACAAAATCTCGAAATCGATTTTTTGCCCGGACACTGCCTTTAACATAAAAGCTTGAGGGAGCCATGGATTTTTATAACGATTTCTTTAAAGGTACATATTCAGTGGGAAATCGTCAGCATCGGTCTGAATGCCGATGAAACTCTTCTTGGTGTCTTCACGAACAATCAATATGGATGTTTTGTTCATGTTTACAACATTGTTGCGTTATCTGTCGATATCCCGGGAGAGGTAACTATCTGTGGATTTGCAACATCTACCTATTACGTTGTGATTCAGGCCATACCTTTATGCTCAGTTCGTGTAGGCAACACTGCTTCCAAAGGGATTGCGTTTGAATGGAATCCAGCACTTGCTGATATGTTTGCAGCGTCAGATACTGATCGAACTCTCAGTGTGGCTAAGATTGACATGCAGGTAAGGATCCGCATCATACTTGTTTCGTAAATCTACACTTCGATATTATTTAGACCCTAACGAAGTACAGTATTCTTGGTGAAAAGAAATTAGAAGCCAATATTAGTGAGATATCATGGAGCCCGAAAGGAAAACAGTTGGTAGTCGGAGATGCCAATGGAAAGATTTTCCAACTTAAGCCCGAGATAGAAGTATGCGTCTTCGTTTCGGCCCATTGCTCATATGATGGCGGTATTTCCAGCTAGTTCGTGCAACCCAAGCACCACAAAATGCTCAAGGTTTGGCAGTCACCAGTTTGAGTTGGCTCGCCACTACGGAATGGCTTGTCGCCTATTCGAATGCTGAGCGAACCAACGGCGGCACATTTATGTTGAATATCAAGAAGGTATGAGACTTTTGTGCAGTCCTTAATTTGAGTTTCCAGATTTGCCTCAGAAAATGAAAGGTATTCATCTTTTCCTCAATTTTATTTTTGCTGTATAAGTCTAGTTATTTGGGCATACCTTTTACATTTTTTTCTATATTTTTTTTCGTCCCAAATGGATAGTGAAGCTAGTGCAAATGTGAAGAATAAAATGAGTTTAGGATAAACCGCCATCTTGGACACCATTGAATCTATCTGGTCAGCTTTTCTTTGGCGAGACTAGGCGACTTTTGGTAGATTGGCATGTTGCAATCGTAGCTTTACCCGGAACCGGACATTTGCTGGCTGTATGCAAACCACCCAACGCTACGGTAAGGTGTAGTTTTCTTTTTAACTATCGTGATGTCGAAGGGGATGTTTGAGGCGTGGACTGCCACTCCTTTGGCTTCATTACCGCAGCCGTCTCCTAATAGTTATATGGTTGGCATTGCTGTGGATCTATCTAGACAAACGACGGTGGCAGTCGGTAAATTTTTGCTTGTATTCGAGATATTGCTTGCTTGATATTTTCATTGCGTGTCTTTAATCTGGCGCACTGTTCATGAATAGTGCATCAATAAATAAATAAATAAATATTGCTCTGTACAGATGGAATAGCTCGTCGATTGCCTGTTTTGATTGCCTTGAGCAGTGATGGTTCAGTGCGCACTTTCCAGCTATCACCACCATCAAAGGATTATCCCGACTGCAACGAGTGAGTCTTCCACATCCCTGTTCTTTTTCTTTATTCCATAATCTCATTTACCTCCAGAGCACTGGTGGCTGTAGATCCCGCCAAAGTTCAGCTTGGACTTCGTCCAGCTGCCACGCCGGTCATCCAAACGAATCCTTCTCCTGCGCCGGCACCCGCGCCTCAAGCTTCACTGTCACAATCTTCCACCCCGATAGCTGGATTGTTCGCAAAAATGGGGGAACAAAAGTCCACTCCTGCGTTCGCTACCAGCACACCGGCTCCAACAACTGGAAGCGTATTTGGTGGTGCGGTTACCAGCACTCCAGCTGCAACTGGAAGCTTATTTGGTGGTGCTAAACCAGCTTCACAGAGCTCATTGACTTTTGGAACGACAGCGGCACCGAGTATTTTCTCCTCAAAGCCAGCAGCAACAATAGCTGCTACCTCTGGTTCTGCAACGTTACAAACCACGCCAAAGTCGACACTTGCTCCAACTCAAACCAGTTTGTCGTCAGGTGAGGGTAACGCTTATTTTAGAGGTAGTGGCTCCGTAGATCTGATGCCAAAGTGCGGCTGTGGATCCTCTTTCTGACATTTTTAGGGGGTTTCAAGACATTCTTAGACTCAGCATATCCAAGAGATTTGCAAACTAGTGAACCAGTAATCTCAAAGGTGCTAGTTCAGGCGCGCTTGCCTCGTGACCCCCTCGGTTTCCCGCTATCTGATGATTTTTGAATGCACCTTACGATTCTTTGTATATTAGAACTAAATAGATAGAATAGATGATAGGCTGATGTTGAAATGCAAATTTTTCGAGTCGCTGCCTTCGGTTTAGATTCAGTCAAAAATCTTTATCGCTTTAGTTTTTGGGAAGCCAGCAGCAGTGGTAACCGCGCCACAACCACAGCCAAGCGCGCCCTTGCCGATAACTGGCTTGTCTACAGCTTCAATGCCGGCTCAAGAGGTTCAGTTGGCATAGTTAAACTATATTCGACGTTTCAAATGAAGTGTTCTTTCAGAAAACCGGCCCAGATCCAGCTGAACTAGCAAAGGCCGAGAAGGCCGCGGTTGCTGCCGCACGCAAGGCTGCGAAAGAATCGGTGCAGAAGTTCCGTAAAGCCTGGGATGAAGCGCACAAAAACATACATTCGTTTACCATTAACAAGCAGAAGGCTGGGGAGGTCATCGATGAAGCAGGTTCGCAGTTTTACCGTTTATCTTTTTTTGTAACGCTGACGTTTTACTATTCTAGTTGCTTCCTTAACTCATGCTGAGAACTGCGAAACAGCTGATGAGATTGAGCGCATGGTTATGGAGTTAGATGAGGAATTGTGTGATATGCTGAGGCTACTAGCAGGTATGCTTGCACATGAGAAGTAAGACCAGGATCATGGTTTACTGTATTTCAGAAAAGAAGGAGTTAGTTGAGGAGAAAACTGCAACGTATAAGGAAACTAGAGATGTTGAGCTAGCCTATAAACGTCCACTGGATCTTCTAGAGGTCAATATATTATTTCAACTTACTCAAAAGAAGTGTTTTCATCTTTGAGCTGTTTAGAGAACTCATTCGGACAGCGTATTGCAAAAATTCGAAGATTTTACCATAAGGCTTCATGAGGCAAAGAAATTAATTGCTGAAACCAAGAAATTATCTGTGAGTTTTATTTTTTTTCTTCTTTTTTCTTCTTCTTTTGCTTTTTATCTCTTAATTTTCTCAACTCGGTCATGCATCTCCCTACAGGTTGTCTCCAAGCCTCGTCGAGCTTCGGAATTTGATCCAAAATTTGAAGTACGACTCCAGGAGAGTATGAAAAACATGGCACGGTACTTTACTATAGTCCGCGCTCATGTAGAGGACATCGAGCGCAAGATGTCACATCTTGCCTTGCAGAAAAAGTAACTCCTTCTTGTTTTATTTATCGCAAGATTCTCAAAGATGATCTCAGGAAAAGCTCTAATACCACAAATGACCAGTCACTTTCCAATTCAACACTGGTAGACCAATCTCTGTGTGAAGAAGCTCCGTCATCTGTGATCTATACACCTGCCTTCAAGCCTATCACTATCCCCAACATGGGTTCCAAATCCCAACAACGGGCAAGAATGCTGGAAATTATGAATGCGAAGGTTTAGCTTTTCTTTTTGAATGAATATTGTTATTCTTGATAATATTATGCTTATAGAAGAATGCGAAGATTGTGACGAAAAAGGTAGAGCCATTGCGAATTGACGCTGCCACTGCTGACGATACACTTAGTTCATCGTTCCTTAATGCTCCTAATCTTGAGACATCATTGAACCAGAAGGTGTAAAGTATTTTGCAGTGGTGAACAGTTCTGAAAGATGATTTCAGATTTCTTCCCCGTTCAAAATGAAGCCCCCGCTTGCTATGCGAAATGCCAGCACTCAAGCAGATGCTCCAGCTCCACCTGCAACAACTTCATCTTTGCCTCAGTCTGCTTCAGGTGGTACTTTTTGCTGCTTTCTCTCAGATTCTAATGTTTTGATCCGTTTTGACACCAAGCCTCGTGAATAATCATATACGCTTTTCAGTAACTTCTGGGTTATCCTCATTGGCTGCGAGTAAACCACCCCCTACTTCGACTCTCGCCACCCTGTTGAAGACTACTAGTGACAACAAACTAAACAGTCAGTCTCATTCCCTGTTTTCTTTCATTGCCCATCATGGTATGTTTAGCCAGTGGTATGGTACCGCTTGCGACATCAACGCCAGGTTTCAAATTAGGAGAAGTAGGCAATCTTATCTTTTATCTTATCGTTCACGTTGTATAATCTATGTGCAGAGTGCTCTAAAGCCATCTGGATCGTTATTTGGTAGTCAGCCTACAAGTACAGCCACTGTCACTACCACACAACCTTCTGTCACAAAACAATCGGACGTTGCTTCGACAGCTAAACCACTGTTTGCTGGATTGTGTAAGTGTGCAAACAATTTTTTCTTAACCTATAGTATTCTATTGTTATCCCTGTTATTTTTCTTATCGATTTCAGCATCAGCCCCAACTGGTGCTGCCAGCCAAGCGAAGCCTTTGTTCGGTGAGTCGAAATGCCTACGTATGGTTTATGCATTCCTGACAGCAATATTCCCTATTTGTTAGGCTCACTTGGAAATAATGCAGCTCAAGGCACAGAAAAGAAAGAGGAAAAGAAACCGTCAACCTTGTTCGGTACTTTAGGTGAGATGCCCTACTTTACCATTTCGTTCCTCTTCTCAAAATCATGTTCCAGGAGCAGCGACCGCCAGTGAACCAGAAAAGAAAGAAGAAAAGAAGTCGTCGCTGTTTGGAGGCATGGGTAAGTTTATGCTTGTAAAGTTTTTTTGTTGTGACCATCGTATATTAGATGCGACTTTTTAGGTACTAGCGCTACACTGAGTACTACGACTGACAAGAAGGACGATAAGCCGCTAACATCTGCGAGTGGGGGTGTTTCTACCTCAGCTACATTTGGTTCTGTTGAAAATAAGGAGTCTAAACCATCCTCTCTGTTTGGCGGTACATCAACAGGTATATTATGGAAATTCAATTCAAAATTTTTTACAATTAGTTTTTACTTAATTTTTCGAACACTTATCGATTTTGTGGATTGACCATATTCAGCCCAACAGACAACTCCCAAATCAATCTTCGGTGGTGATAATCTTTCAAAACCACTTTCTTTTGCTTCTACACAACCGGCTAAAATCAACGAAACCGCAAGGAAGGAGGAGTCGAAAGGTAAATTTCTCTTATAGGTTGGAGTAGTAGCACAAGATTTTTGTGTCAGATGAGCAAAGCGCTAGCTTGACAGCAGAGCCAAAGCAGCCAGAAGTGAAAGCTGACGCTGGTGAGTGATTGGCGGTGCAGATTCCCTCAAGAATTCTTCTGAAAGTAGAATTCAGGAATAAAGATTATCGAAACACCAGTAGTATCTTCCATCGCGCCTTCGACAACAACTGCCACAACCACCACAACAGCGTCGAGCATTTTTGGAAAACCGTCATTATTTTCGTCTGCTCCAACCACTACAACCACCTCCACTAGCATATTCGGCACCGCACCGGTCACATCAGCATCTGCTGTAACGACGACTACGAGCATATTTGGAACCTCTTCTTTGACATCATCGACTCCAGCTACAACAACAACGGCCACTTCCACCACTTCTAGCATATTCGGCGCGGCGAAAACTTCTCCATCTAGTGGATTTGGAAGCATATTTGGGGCGAAATCCGCTGCTCTGGGTATGCTTCGGGTGTTTATCCCTTCCAACAACTTTGTGCTTCTTTCCAATTGGCAAATCAAATGGATTATGTTCATGTTAAGGCACTAACACTGATGCGAATACTGTAACTTTCTCATTCAAACCAAAGGCGGAGCCGCAACCTGCCCAGCCCTCTGTTTCCTTCACATTTGCAAAACCCAGCACTGGAGGTAGCCTTGGTAAGTAGTTTGAATCTTTTCTGTTTTTGCATCCACACCAATCCTGTGTTGCGGAAGGTTTCGCCGCCGCCGCTGCAGCAGCGGCCAACAGTGCTGACAATGACGAAGGCATGGATGATGATGGGTCCTCTGGTGGAGCGACTCAAAGCACGGGCGGTATTTTTGGGGGTGGTTTTATGAGGTGCGGTTTAGGGCACAAAAGAAAATCATTTTGATTGAGATCTGTCCTTTCAGCGGGATTGGTTCTACAACTAGTGCAAATGCGACCAAGAACGTTTTTGGAATGGGAACTAGCACTTTATTGAAAAACACCACGGGTCAATCGGCGACGAGCTCGCTATTTAAAACGGGACAACCATCGGTATGTTATCAAATCACTCCCTCCTCCCCGTCCTCTCCGATCGTCCATCGCTTGTTCAGATTTTTGGCTCTGGCTCTCAGACTTCTTCGTTTGCGTCTGCAGCTCAGCAAGCGGCCCAGTCCACTTCGCCTACATCGTCAATGACGAAATCGGTAAGAATATCAATCACCATCACTCCACCTGACAGTCAACTTGAAGGTATTTGGTGCCGCTCCAAAGTTTGGAGGCCCTCCTGTATTTGGAGGTAAACCAGTTTTTGGTTCACCCACTACCCAACAGACCTCTGCTTTTGGCGGAGCAAATGCAACCAGTGGGGGATTTGCAGCGTGAGTGTCGCCTTGGTCGTATCTGCGTAAAGCATGCGACTTCACTTTTGTTTAGCTTTTCTGGCGGTAAAAGCCTCTTCGGTGGAGCAAGCACTGGTGGAAGTTCGCTGTTTGGAGGTGGTACCACTAGTCAAAACCAGCCAAAGAGTTCCTTGTTTGGTGGCTCTCAGGCTAGCAGGTAATTAGATCCGTTTTCATTGCTCTGAGTTACGTATTTATGTTTTTTTCCAGTTCATTCAGTACATGGCGCTGAGTTCTGTTGACCATGTCTTACACTGTCCGGACGGCTTTGTTTTTTTGCACAAGTGCATGTATGCTTTGTTCAGAAATCGCTTAGTCTTGTAATAAATTTGCAAAGTCTGATGTATGTAATGAGTTAAGAACTGCTTAGAGGCAGTGTTTCGGCAGAATTTGGTTTGTTCAGAAAATTTCCACCTTTTCGGAGTATTCTCGCCATAAGGAATCTAAATCTGGGCTTTTCAGAGCATGAAAGTGGTCAAAATGAGCTTTTTTCCGAAGCTTTTCGGTCCGCATTCAGTGGAGAAGACGGGGCGCGAAAGACTTTTGGCATATCTTCACTGAAAGCGGACTGAAAAGCTTTGGAAAAAGCTCATTTTTGCCATTTTTATGCGCCGAAAACTCGGATAGAGATCCCTCATGGTGAGAAGGATCCGAAAAGATGAAAAACTGGGAAATGAAATTTGGCCAGGACATTGCCTTGAGTTTTTGCTGACGTTAACGGCCTGCATTGACTAGTAGTGCATCTTATAGTATTGAGTTCTTTACTTAAGTCCGTCTAGAGACTCGTCCGCAAGATATTTCATTCGCGACTTCACTTGGCGCTTTTTAGACGCCCGAAAAGTAGCCCTAAAAATAGCATACATTCGATCTAGAGACATTTCAAGATGGTGTATTGGATACCCTGAGTACAAAAAAAATATAATCAAATTGAAGCACTGCGAAATGGACATAAGCGCCTTTTTAACGAACATCGTAACACAGTCAGTTGAGCTTCAGACATCACCTACAGATATCCTTCCAAATGCATAAAAATCGCACTAAAAACATATTGAGGAGAACTTGGAGCAGATGTAAATATTTTCTGTTCAGTCCAACTTTTGAAAGATTTTGGCGCCTAGGAAGACTGCTTGAACTTTGAGATGAATACTTCTGGCTAGAACCTTCAAAATGAACAGGTGAATGTACCAGATATAGACCCATTCAAGCTTGAAATTATAGCAGCGCGCGTAAAGTGAGGGTGAGCATGGAGGAACACCAGCGACGGCGAATTTTGGAGTTTTCGGAGAAAGTATTTGCGTTCTTGAAAGCCATTGATTTATCCTGCTCATATTCGTTCCCTTATTGAACAGAAGTGTCGCTTATTTTGTGTTTTAGATTCACCTCTGTCTAGCCCCCTTATAAGAAAGTCTGTGCTGATATTGACCGACACCTCAAAATTTTTTTAACTAATCATGAGCGACGCTTATCGAAGAAATCTTCTATGATAAACTTGTTTAGATACATTCACCACAAGTTACAAAGTAAGGTTAGCCTCCCGGTGTTGAAAGACTCTTCGGGTTGTACTTGCTGTAATGATTCTAGTAAAGCAGAAGTCTTGGGTGAATACTTTGCCACTGTGTTTGCGAATCCTTTGAGTATCACCGCCCCCTCCTCCCATCCTCCTCAAAACAAATTGAATTCTGTTTATTTTCACCCTGCGGAAGTTAGAAGAGTCCTGAGGTCTCTAAAACCTTCGTGTATGGAGCCGTACGGTGGCATGGGTGGAGGACTATATGTCGCCGAATTTGGAAGAGTCCCGCGCGGATTCCCTGCAGGAACGCATGTCCGCGCATGTACAAGGGTGCGTATTTGTCGCAAATGACCGCGGGGACCGCCCTTTTTCGGCGACATATAGTCCTCCACCCCGGTGGCATCCCTCAAATACTCTACAAAATGTGTGCAGATACTTTCGCCAAACCGCTTGCTGATATATTCAGTCTTTCCTTATACTTCGGTGAGATTCCTTCTCTATGGAAGGAAGCCATTGTTACAGTTGTGCCTAAAACTTCCGCAGCTGAAAGCGTTGCCGATTTTCGCCCCATTAGCCATAACTCTGTTCCCATCAAGATTATGGAGAGAATTATCAGAAGTAATTTACTACTTTGGTTGGAGAGGTTCCATCTTGTTTCGCCCGAGCACCGTGGCTTTGTGCCAGGCAAGTCAACTGCAACTAATCTTACTGAAGCTGTTTTTGATTGGAAAGTAGCCTTGAGTTTGAGGAAATCTGTGGATATTGTATACTTCGACCTTTCCAAGGCTTTTGATAGAATACCTCATCGTTTGCTTCTTTGCAAGCTAGAGAATATCGGAATTTCGGGAAACCTATTAACTTGGTTCGAGTCTTACTTGAGCAATAGATGCATGACGGTAAAGATTGGTCATAAATATTCAAGAAAATTCCCCTTCCCAGTGGAGTTCCTCAGGGAGCTGTACTATCTCCTTTGTTATTTTTGGTATACACTTTGGACCTACCTAATACTTTAAAAACAATGGATGTGCGCGTACAAATCTATGCAGACGATACAAAGATATATGCATCTTATGATGAAGATAATTTTGCCACAGTTCATGATGCATTGCAGTCGTCGATTGATAAAATGTGTGGTTGGGCTTCTCAGAATGGACTCTCTCTCAACCCAAGAAAGTCCTTCCTCCATCTTGGTAAGCATTCCTCAACTTCGTATAAAATCAATTGAGTCGAGATGACTGCTTGTCAAGATGTGAAAGATCTGGGAGTTATCATCGACTGTAATTTGAAATTCTCTAAGCATATTGATTCAATTGTCAACAGGGCATATGCCACTCTACATACAATCTTTCGTAATATACAAACTCGTTATCCAATGATACTGTCCCGATTATACAAAGCTTATGTTATTCCACATCTCGAATACTGTTCACAAGTTCGGACTCCTTCCCGAAAAAAAGATATAATGAAAATTGAGAGAGTTCAGCACACTTTTACCCGTCTGGTTTTCCGTCGTGCGAGTGGTGGAACACTAGTTGATATGCCAGACGGTCACCTACGCTCTGATAAATTGGGCTTGACTTCTCACAAAATTATGATATCTGACCTGGTCTTTTGTTTTCGTATTCTTCGCATGGAAATAAGCAAGTAAATTTTGGATCTTCAAACCAGTTGGTACTAGGCTAGGTGGCTTTAATCTGCATTATAAACCTATTGAGCTACATCAGTCTGGAATATTTAACTACATGTTCTTCCGCTGCGCAAGATGGCTTCAGCGCTTACCCGTTGATATGGTGTCAGCGCGTAGCGGTGAAGCCTTCAAGAAAAAATTCAAAAAAGCTAATTTGACCCAACTTTTGAGCATTGTTACTTCTTTTTGATTGCGTTGCGTTTCTAATGTTGTGTTCAGATTTTTAGGGTTTAGTTTTTAGGGTTTATAGTTGTTATGGTTCTCCTACGCTTGCTTCTGAGGCTTGATTTTCGTTGCACTTCGTTTTTTTTCTTTTCTTTTTTTTGCTTCTACTTTATTTTTCATCTCTCAAATTCCTTTTTCTAGATCCTTGCTTTTGTGCTGTTCATGTGCTCTATCCCTTTCGTTTGACGGTTCTATGGCACGCGACTCCACCTGTCTCAGTTTGGTGTTTAATCTGGGTTGCCTATGGTCGAAGGAATGCGAATACATGATTGTCTTGCGGGATTTTAGTTTATGTTGGATCAGATTCCAACAAATCATTGGACCTTGGTTCACACCATTGCCATTCGTTGTGTTGGCTTTTTTTTTCAACTTTATACCTCACCCGTTAGTTTGGGTCTGGTTCATCTCATCACTTCCATTGATGCTTGGGTTAGCTTGTTTGGCTTGAAACTTCTGCATTGTGCAACCTCTTCCGGAGTTCTGTTCTCTCCCCAGAGTTTGGTTGGGCGGGTTTTACCAATATTACTACCAATACACCTGCTTCCAGCATATACATTTGCTTATGTTTGAATAAGAGCACTTTTGCTAAGAGCAGGGAGCATGAGACAGACTGCATCGAACCTCGATACCTGTGATGACTTCATATTAGTCTAGACAAGCTCATCCCTTTCTATCCCTAGAAAATATTTTGCGGGCTGGACCTGAGCTGATTCAGTGGGGTGTTTGCCTGTTTTTGTTCTTGTTTTTTTTTGTCCCTAATTGTTTAGTGTGATGCTTCGTTCTGTATATTGGGCACGCCTTGTGCGTATCAAATAAATAATAAATAAATAAAAATAAAGCGATTCCGTAGAATTTTTAAACAACGTCGACGATGATCTGGTTAGTCTAGTTATGGTATCTCGACAAGGAGAAAGGGGTTGGTGGTCTTTTCAAAATGCGAGTTGCCATGTCTTCATAATTATGAATTGAACACGTACGGTCTCCCTTTGGCTTGGCCTACGCTTACTCTGGGTGCTCTGCACGGCTGCACGAAGCTGGATATCTTTTCGAAGGTAAAAGCCAAGTAAATAGCACATATTTTGCGGTTTGCGGGGCAGAGGACAAAATAATGAGAGAATTGCATCACATCTTGCCGAGAATCGTACTCTGGATATGTGCTTGAGGAGCCGGAGTATGTTGAGTAAGCTATAAAGTCGAACTTTTTGTTAGACTTTTTCGTCTGAACAGCACAGATTCCTCACAGCTGTGTGCCACCTGAGTCGGCACTTACGCTTTGTTATTTGATTTTTCGTCAATCATATGTAAAGAGTTTGTCAACTGCATTCATTTGTTTGCCCCAGCATCTTCACTCCCGCGCGGGACTCTACATTTCTTCCGCAAACATGCTCTCTAGTCATATCCAATTTGAGACTCCATTATTCCCACGCAAAGTGACTAGAGAGCATGTTCGCGAAAGAGATGCAGTCGAAGAGGCTGCGCGAGAGCGGAGGTGCTAGTGCTCCCGGCACTGCGTTGATATGCCCTGTAAGTCTGTTCTGCATATTGGCAACTACATACAGGGCTTATCAATCGCAGTGTCGGGTGCACTAGCATCTCCTTCTCCCGCGCGACCGCGTCGCCCGGATCCTGCTTCTTTTCCGCGAACATGCTCTCTAATCATTTCCAATCGGAAATTTCGCCTTTTCACCCTCGTGGGAGCGGAGATGCTGGGTTGCTGGTGCATCCGGCACTGTAATTGATAACCCCTGTACTAGTATCAAACTGACCTACTTTATCTCCCCTTTTATAGGCAGTGTCCAGGCAAAAAGTCGATTTTGAGGTTTTATGCTTACCCGGGCCTATTCGCTATGCTGAATCCGAAAATCCACACTGGAAAGCGCAAAGACGGCAAAAAAGGGCTCTAGCGCAGGAGGAAACCGCAAGTGGGCGGGGTCCTCCCTACTGTGAATTTCGCAGTCCCAGCTTTTGGAGCGATCCTTTTAATCCCTCTAACGCCCTGAGGTCTCCTTCCGGCCAGGTGCGAATGCATTGACATGAAATCGGAACCGAGAAGATCGCTCTGGAAGCTGGGAGCGTAAATTCACAGTGGGGAGGACCCCGCCCACCTGCTGATCTCCCTCCCGTGTTAGAGCCGTTTTTCGGCGTTTTCGCGCTCTCCAATGTGGATTTTCGGATTTAGCATAGTGAATAGGCCCGGGTAAGCACAAAATCTCAAAATCGAGTTTTTGCCCGGACACTGCCTTCAAACGCTCTGTGAAAACCCACAGTGGTGGCGAAGTTCTGCTCAGAACCACCATGTATTTCTGCTCATCATCATAATCAGTAGTGACGCTCATTGTGAAGCATGGATGTGGTCTTTTCGACTCACTTTGACAATGGCCTCCTTCAAATGTTCTGCGAGCTCAAGTAGGGGGTCGTAATGGAAATCACTAGGTGCTTGCTCCTTCGTCCTTGCGTAACGATCTGCAGTTCGCCTTGTCTGGCATCCATTCTTCAAAAGTCTATACAAAGAATTTACAATATTAGCGATGTTTCGAAAAGGTAGAAATGGTGGGCGATGATATTGGCAGTCACTCCCGGAAGCCTTCGAAAGAGTCTTGACTAGCTCGGAGGATTTGGTTCAAGAACATCATCCTCTTCATCAAAGTCAATCTGATCATCATTTTCGAATGCTCCGAGACGCTTAAAACTTTGTGTATGACGTCAGTGCCACATGAAAGAACATAGCCGATAGGGTGTACGCGGCACAAAAACTTCGGTGTCAACCTATAAGAACATCCTTGCGCCGAGCTTGAATTCTTGGTGGTAAATCATATTGACACTCGAAGAATGCTCTTTATCGCAATAAACAATAATAACAATAGCATTAAGCAACAAGGGCAATTGAATAGTTCATTAGACCATCAGGACTATTTATGGCTTGGAAGATGCTGTTGACATGCTTTCCACCAGCTTTTGGGTGTAAACGAATTACCACAACATCCACGCTCTAAGACTGATTATTGTAATGAAACCGTCGAACCGATAACCTACAAAATTTTCATGGTGATCAGTTCCGGTGAGGGGTGCAGACCAATCAAAAATTGATGTTACGCTTAGCGAACAACGAACCGAAAACTATATGAAATTCCATCAAAAGACCCTTCCAGGATCTCGACTTTTCAGTCTCCGCACTGACATGAATTGACGCGTCTTGCGAAGACTAGATGCAGCTAATGAAACGCTTAATGACTGGACTGCTCGAATCGAGCTCACGGATGTAATTTAAAACATTTATTCGTTTTGATAAGGTGATATTGAGATCAAGGGGGCCAATAGAGGGCACTGCCGAAGACACCACGATATTTTCGCCTTTATGATTACGTTTTAAACTAATCGAGTGCCTTACGCAGGTATTTCCATAACCAGCGAGCAGAGCCCTCAGGATCATCCATGCATTTGTTTGTCTGAGAGATCAACCTGAGAAAACTCAAAAATCACAATCTAAGGTAGATCTACTTTCGATTTTACCCTAAAATCTCACAGATAAGGCTCCCATCAGATAAGTCCGTCTGCAGATAAGTCCGAATTTGTTTGATAGTCTTCGAACTTACCTGACATGATTTTGGGATATTTATAATTAGAAAAAGGTGGACTTAAATGTAAGGCGGATATCTGAAGAGACTTATCTCGGTTAAAAAAGCGCACTTATCTGTAAGGTTCTGGGCACCTCTTCCCAATCACGAGGCATGCTCACACGAGCAAATTTCAATCTTCTTCCTTATGTAAGGAAGTAGACGCAGAACTCATTTTCGTGCGCACAAGTTGTTCATTTCGCCAAATATTCTGACGAGTGGTAGGTTTTGCACCCTTAAATCGAATTCCTGCTTTGTATAAGTGCACTTATATTGACTAAAGGCCTTTCTGAGGATCTGACGCTCATCTTCCCTCCTGAGCTTCCTCTTGCAGCTCTTTCTTTTCAGTACTGTACGTACAGAAAAACCATTGAGGCAGGTTATGGACCGTTCTTTCGATCTCGTCAAACCTCAGCTTCACACCTAAGCGAGAGGAGGCTTGTTACTGCTTGTTCTAACGCTCCGTTAGGCCTCCTCCACCATCACTTAACAACGAGCGTAGACCAGGGCTCAGTCGCTGATGGACCACCTAAATTTGGTAAAATCTCTTATTTACACGGTGACTCGATGGAAGCACAAGGCAGCTGTTGAATGCCATTTGAATATGATCTCTTCAGCTATGAATCTTTACTGCTTATCACTTCAGGAAGGGCAGAACTTGCAAATAAACTGCTTGTATAGATCAGCACTTTCATTTATAACATATCAACTGCGTCTGCTACCATTGAAAAGTCAAAGGAATGATCGAAAGAAAAAAAACGATTGACTCAAGACAGAATCGTAAAACCATTTCTAGCAAGTAATGATCTCTTGCAAGGGTCGTTCACACCTAAAAGAGTGTTTATGATACCGCACTAACGAAAATTGTAGTGTAAATTGTAGCATGCGAAAACTAGCTCCGCTCAGTATATTGTTAGTGAGTATATAAGCCAAGTGCGGCCTCATGTACCTTTATTGGGATACTACCATTGAAATTTCATAAAAGACACTCATTTGAATAGGGAGCAATAGTGTTGAATTAAAAACAAGCGTACATCGTTTGCTATGTACATCCCACCCTCATTTATTAGAATTCGATCCTGACTACCGCGTCTGATGAAGCATTACAAAAGGTATAAGTTACTTTCATAAGCTACTCCCTATCATTCTTGACCAGAATCAACGTAAGAGGGTGACACGAAAGCAAATGGTTCAAACCGTGCGTACCTCCGTTAACTCATGAAAGTTAGCCCTGGTTGCCATAACAGAAGATGAAAAAGAAGTAAAAAAGCTTTTGTCAGTGGATTAGAGCAGAAGACTAAGGTAAAACACCGGTAACTTGCAAAGTGACTGAAGATAAGCGAAATCAACTATTTGCCCAGTTTTTCGTAGTAGCAAGATGAAATAAGATATTAGAGATAATGTTGTCGAGCTTGTTCTGAGGTTGCGTTTTGATTAAAAGTTGTAAAAGACAGTATTGGATATCGATGGCAGCAGAGAACTTTGAAACGAACGGAATAGAGTGGTGGAAGGAACAAAGAAGACGAGGTCTAGGGTTGAGAAATTCTGTCAAAAAATTGAGTGTGGACTTATGTAACAAACATATATAATAAACTTCTTCCTACTTATTCGTATGTTTGCGGAAATGAATTATGTTTGTTAAGCAGCTGAATAGTTTCTTCAAT